GGGGGTTGACAGTTTTCTGAAAATCTCGGTGGGATTCAAACACATGCCAGCGCAGGAAACACTTTGGTACAGTCAACGCTCCGACCAACTGAGCTACGAGGCCTCCACACCGGGCGTCGTGAGTTTAATCATACTTGGGTCAATTTATCCGCCCCGCCTACTACGACATATGCGATCCATCAATTCTGATACAATTAATTTATTGTCCAGACAAGTTATCCTAAACAATCAATTTAGAATCCACCAGATGCCCATCAGTCAGTTGAGCCTCTCCCTTTCTGGCTTGGGTTCGAAACCACCGAAGCCGCCGAGTTTTGTATAGGTGGGTCAAAGGAATTATTCACATCGACCAAAACCTCCTACTAATTAGTTGTGATCGGTAGTCATCTGGTGGATTCTAGACTGATTGCTTAGGGAACCCTGCTTGGGCAGTCAGCTTACTGTATCCGAATTGGTGGATTCCATATGTTGCAGTAAGCTGAGCGGGTAAATTGATCCAAGTATGATTAGACTCACGGCTCCCGGTGGGGGTCTTGTACCTCGGTTGGCTAGAGCGTTGGCTGTACTACAGCCTCCCCCTTGTTAGAGTGGGTTTAAATCACACAGAGGCCGCCGAGTTTTTCACAAATGAATTCAATCAGTCCTTATATCCGGCTGATAAAGACATGTCGCAATCGCATAAAAGCCATACCACTATGCTCGCGCTCCCAAACATACGCCTTTTTAATGTCGCTCATTTAGGCGGTCAACTCATGGCAACTTGCCCTGCGTATCGAAAAAACGGTTCTCAGCTCATTGAACTCTTCTATCGAACGCACCGAACTCCCTCTTTTTGAGTAAAATTGACCTCACATCCTTGACTAACATAGTATCCATGAATATCTATTTAGACCTTTTCCGTGTGCTTTTAACCTCCAAAATTTTCCTATTCAGTCAGTTATAGCAATTGAACGGCCCGGTAAGGTCCAGCTCCAGCGCAATCATGTCTTACCTTCTTGATAGCGGCCACCGAATAAACTTCAGCCAAGTCTCTTAATTTGTCTGAAGGATTACGGTGCGCTATTCCAAATGTATACACCGGCAGCCTTTTGAGACAATAAAGACGGTTGCTATCTTGTTTTCATAGAATATATCTATTTTTGTCCCTCAGCTACCCTGGCTCAAGTTGTACCTCATAGATTTCCTCCTGCACCTTACTAGCTCGCATTATTGCGCCAAAACACATCACACTTACACATTCTCTCACAAACTCAAGAACTAGATCCTATTTCCTCGTCCTTGTTTGGTACCTTCAGACAAACCTCAACTCGTTCCTGGTTTTTCATAGCTCTCTTTTAATGTAAACTATTAAAATGGCCTAGGTTTAGCCAGTCGAAAACGTGTATTTGCAAACTTTGACTCCGTAAACGTAGACAGTTAAAAGAAGTATGTTGAAGAAGTAGGAAACTTACTGCAGAAAGTTGTACTTTGGACCTTGAAAGATCTCCAGCTTGTTTTTGTACCAGCGAAAACGAGCGTTAGCTTTGCAGAAGGTACATTTGAGAACCACCTTTGGTTGACCCTCTTTGACTTTCGTGTCCTGAAGCTCTTCGAGGAACTTCTCTTTTTCCTAGAGAGCAAATGGAAAATAGCAGAATTAGCTGTCGTTCCTCCTTAAAGTAAGGGTTCCTTATAAGCAACCGCGCAATTCTCTATAAAATAACTGGCAACTTATTTCGTTGTAGTTAATTATTTAGTTTTATTAGTTTTGGTTTACTTAAGTATAGTTTTTAGTTAGATTAGTTTGCTGTAGTTTAGCTTTATTTCAGTTTTAGTTAACTCTAGGTTTTAGGTTATTATCTCGTTTTATTACTTTCTCTTTAGTTAGTTGGGGTATAGTAAACTATAGTGTTGCTTATAGTGAACCATTGCCCTCCTTAAATGGTTAAGGCAACAAGTTGGGTAAGGAAGTGTGAGAAAGGAAGGGAAAATATCAGCTTATAGGGACAAGGGCTTGAGTCCCTGAAAGATGTAATAAGTTTGAAGAGAGGGGAGCAAATCTCTAATCACCAAGGTCGAACATGTATTTGGCTTAAAATTTGCTCTTATACAAGGATTTGTGATCAGAAACTTAGACCAGCAGCAATACATCTGGAGTATTTAAAGCCGGTCGGAGACCGGTGTCAGATTGAAGAGGCGTTTCGGGGAAGGTGACACGGCTTGCTGAGGAGTGGATATTTACTCCTAATGCTACTCATTTTTTGCAGTCCTGTGTATTACGTCTACATACGCTCACGCAATTTCAGAAGCCAAAAACTTCCTCTCGGATATCGGAATTTCTCCCCTCTGGTGATTTATTCAAACATATCCGTTAACGGACGCTAGTATATACAGAACTTAGGCATGCTATATATGTATATTAAGGGATTAGTACATGTAGTTAGGATCGAGCACTCAACGTACCGCTTTAGGCGTCTCACGATGCTTCAGCATAGGGAAACCGGGGATCGCCTCCGCTAGTGATGTCCTTCGGCTACTTGAAGAATCTCGTCTAGCCTGTAGTTGTTCCTCTAGGGCCTTCGGATCCAAAAAGTGGCCAGATTTGCTCTGCCGACCCTGGAATAGAAGTACATATGATAGTTTACATGCTTGTCTTATGCAGTAAGAACTTAATATCATGCTTGACAGGAAAAGTGCGGCTGTCACCGTAACCGTACCTCATCATCACGTCTCTGGGACGAGGCACGTCGGCTGCCCCAGTTAGGAGACGCCACTTGGAGCTCAGGAACCTCGTCATTTTCTTCGGATCTACAACGGACCACAAATATTGTAAGAATAAAAGGGCTAGCAAGGGGGGGGGATAACCTTGGCTTGTGTGAACCACATGAATTACATCATTTTCCTTATCTGAAAATTTGACTCGTGCATCAAAGAACAATGTACTCCGCCGTTGTTTTTGGAACAATTTGAAGGTCACAAAGATACTGAAGAACCTACTTGGTTTCCGATGCATTTATAACCAGGCAATTGTTCACTGTTGGGTTTGTACTTTAAACTGAAATCGTGTAGGGCAGGTAACCTGAAACTTAGGCCCGAACTAGAGCAGGTATTAACTGCAAAAAAGAGCCTAAATTACGCCTGGAAATTAATGGATGAAGAAAGGTTTGTGACAGTAAGCGCTATTTCATATGAGACGAAACAAAATCTGAAAGCACGTTGTGTGTCCGCTGGCGTAGGGTTGGTATATGTCCTTATCAGTAAATAGAATGCCAGAACATCATTCACAATCGAACTGTAATCATTATACATTTTAGAATTATTTGCACGCATAATTATGGCAGACCTCGCAATCTAAACCGAATAGTGACAATTCGCCTGGTGAGATTCCTTTTGACATCAGTTCTAAAAGTATATTTTTTGGAGTTTATTTGGTTGGATTATGGTTATTTAAACTATACAGACTCGAGAAAAAAATGGAACAGAGTCGTGTTACATAGTATAAAGGAGCAATCCGGTTGGGCAACTTGGCACTTATTTACCACTTTTGTCAACACCGAGGAAAGGCCATATAGAAAGAAGTCTAAGATGATAGTCTTCGTAAAATTGGGATGGAAAGTCAAGAGAGTCGATAAATAAAGGTTCTGCTTAACACACTACTTAATTCATTCGTCATTAAGCTCCTGACGGTGATCAAGGGGAGGAGACGTAACCGGTGAACACCCAACGACACCAGTTGGTGCACATAGACAGCTCGCCAAGGGCACGTGCCCAGACGGACGCGCCAATCACTGCATGGCGCATCCGCACGAGAGGACCTGCATGTTTGTAGTACGTCAAACTTTGTATAACGCAAGGGAGAATCAATAGCCAGTTTGTGTCTAGGTCTGAAATATTTCGCCCTGGTGGCCGTCGGCGCGCCGCTTACAGTATATTTTCTACCTCATTAAGTGTCAACCGAAATTCTGAAATGGGTTTTCGATTCGAAAAACTTACTTAAGTAGGATCGTTATACTAATAATCGTGCAGCCTAATCTCAAGATATCTCAGTCCCGGCAGGATGCCAGGGTTTGGAATGACTCTTTCTTACATGCTTTCCTTAGAATGTATTTGAACTTACAAGGGCATTGAAAGTAAATGATAAAATGCATAAGTAGTCATTAGTTACAGGGTATGCGTGTTGGAGACGTTCACAAAGAAACTCTTACAAAAGCCGACATCCTGCCATGACTTAAATATCTTGATATTAGGCTGTGCGATAGTCAGTATTGCAACCCTACTCATTTCAAATCTAAAACAGATTTTAGAATTTCTTTTGACATTTCATGCGGTGGGAAATCTACTGTAGTCATCACGTATTCGGTCATACAGTGGTTCGGCCGTTGTGCTTTATATGTACGGTAGGGAAATCATGGCTAACTTTGTACTATAGAATGGACGATGCGAGCCACATCGGTCTCTTCTTATCATTCTTTTCCCACTCTTTTTTCAAAGATTTCATTCAAGTACATCAACTGGAGATGGGGCGGAATGTTGGGGCTACTCAGGCCTTATCGCATTCCATATACATACCAGACTTCAACTGGTTTCACCACAGTTACTTAAATCGAACAGTTCTTACAATGCTGACTACAGGTCCCTTCAAAGGCCTGATGTCTCAGCAATACCTCTTTTGACGATTAATCAACCGCCGCAAGCGAGATGGATTACTGTTCCGACTAGGGTACGGCATTGACTTGCGCGTGAAGCTGTTCATTATAAAGCTTACGCAATATCTATCTCGCCCCAGTTAGGACATAGCGATGGCTTGCGGCTGAAGTTCACTGAAGCCGTCGCTTTGTGTCCACCTCTTCATTATTCCCGCGTTCAGCAAGGCCAAACAGGAATGTGGACGCACTTTATGACAAAACTGAACCGTCCGTCTGCGCTTGCTGCACAAATCCTGTACTCGAACTCTAGATACTGAGGACTTCAAATGAGGGTTTCCGATCTCAAAAACCCGAGGGGTATTACAGAGGCCTCTTGGGC